AATATTTAATGACATTACTAAACAAAATATCTGGTGTGTCCACTCACACGACTTTCCTGCCTATTTCAGAAAAGTTTTTATATCTTTACATATGTTCATGAAGAAACAAAAAAGAATTGAACTAGATACATTTTCCAGAAAATTGATCAAACATAAGATTTGAGTAGGATTTATTTGATAAACTAAAGCAATGTAAACCGGCCAAAGGTAGATCAGTGTAAAAATTTCAATATTTCCTAATATTGCTGATTAAAAACTTGTTTAGTATTGCCATAGCTTAGTATTGTCAAACAATAATTTCTGTTAAAAGTAGAGGAAATGGTGAAGCTTGTGTGATGCGGGCAACAGATTTTCTTACTTTCACTTAGTCATCTTTAATGTCTCATTCACCCACGATATGAAACCGTAATCTTACATTGAAAATTGAATAGCTATAACTTCATTAATAGTTGTCCAAAATCAACAATTTTTATATGGCTTTGTAGGGAATTTCATTATATTTCAAACGGCGTATTTTCCATCTATACGACTCAGGGGGCTCTGAAACGTATAGATCCGTCGAAAACCTAATGTCATAAATTTGACCCGATTGCAATACTTTCCTTATCTAGTATAGGTAGGAAAGTAATAAATTAAAACATGTGTAGAAAATATAATAAGCTGTATCACCGCTAATACTGGTTCGATTCCGATGATTTTTTTTTTTTTGTTTTGTTGGTAATTTAATTACCTTTCAAAAGTTTTATTATATATTTTACCGCATAATATATACTTAGGGAGGTAGGCCCCATAACATTTTTCTTTTCTTTATAACTTTTTTTCCTATATTTTTTCGGTAATTTAGTCTATATACAAAAATTGAAAGAGCAATGATTAGAACATTCTAAGAAAGTTTCATAAAAATCGTTAGATCCGTTTTTGCGCTACAGTCTATAGAAAGACATGTTTTTCATTTATTGCGCGCAAGCTATTGCGCATGGAGCACCGAATTTCTGTCACAGGCATCAGTAGTCAAAACCCTACAAAATAAAAAAAGAAGCAACAAAATCGGTTCTGTAGTTTCCGAGAAAATCTTGGCACAGACAGACAGACAGACCAATGGCTAAAAATGTGTTTTTCGGACTCAGGGGGCTATGAAACGGATAGATCCGTCGAAAGCCGCGTGTCGGAAATTTGATCCGATTGCAATACTTTCCTTACCTAGTATAGAGGAAAGTAAAAAACAGTAAAAAAAAAAGGAATGTTTTATGAATAGTACTCTGGGATATTTCTAGATATTCATAAAGCGTTTGATAGCATCGAGGGCCTTTTATGGATAATTCTTCATTCCAGGATCTAGGATTTAATTTTTCTCTGGGTGATAGGGTTCAACCCGAAAACGTTTTCATATATATATATATATATATATATAACGATAATTAATTTAAAAAAAAAAAAACGAAATTAACTACCTATATGAAATGGTATTTAAGTGGTTCTTGAAGTCCTATTAAATGTAATTACACGAACGGGAATACTTTAGGAGATATTTTTTTCTCAAAAATATAGTTATATTCTACCATTTTGGGGAGTGGGGGCTTCAGCCCGAAAGCCTCCCCCGTAGATCCGCCTATAATCCTCATCAAACTAGCACTGACATCTGTAGCTTTTCTGATGGTACTGTCACTCTTTCAAATACCATCTCTGTGACCTCGAAAAGTGGTTCAAAAATGTAAAACTCACGACAGAAAACTCAATTTGAACACACACACACACACATACCAAATTAAAATAACAAAAACTGACCAGACGCTACAAGCATCTGCGATTTCCCTTAATCTACAGATTTGCGCACAAATTACAAAATAAGCAACTGATTTACACCACTATATTAGGATCTGGATTTACGGAGCAGAACTTTACGAGTTTAACGAACGAAATTCCAACCGCACAATCCAAACTACTTCAAATAGTAGTAAATGCACCTTCTAAAAAAAGTCAATCAAATTACATGGATTAATGATAATTAATTAAATTTAATGGAATTAATTGCTTGAGTATTAAGTACTTTTCTATTGATCTTGATAGTTATGTTGTTACAATACTTTGTTAACTTTTCCAATTTAATCATTTTTATTTTTATTGAATTCCTAGCTTTGTTAATCGTAGTTATTATAGTTAAATATCGTTAAAATAGCGCAGGGCCGTATTCGATTATCAGCACGCAAATTCACCTAAACGTTATGTATGGATCAGTGTAGTTTCTCCTAACCAAGCTTAAAAATATTTCCTTCTCAACTAGTACCCTTAATTGGTTCCAATCCTTCCTTTCCAACCGCTCCCAGTATGTTGTAGTCCCCAATAACCCCCCATCAGAACCTTTACCTTTGTCCAGGGGTGTCCCACAAGACTCCTCTTTATCTCCCACCCTTTTTTCCCTCTACATCAATGACCTTTCATCCTCTATCCTTCACTGTCAATACCATCTATACGCCGACGACGTCCAGATTTACCTCTCCTTCAATCCAACCGAATCCTCTGGCGCCATCCAAAAATTACAGGATGATATGCAATATGAGCCTGGGCAAATCACAATAGGATTACTCTAAACTCCAATAAGACGAAAGCCATTCTGATCGGATCTCCCTCACTCCTCAAATCCATCTCCCAATCTTTTCCTGAACAATTCACCTATCTCATTCCATACTTCCGTAAAGAACCTTGGTGTTACATTCGATCAAACCCTCTCCTGGAAACCACACATCTCCCAAATTTCCCGTCGTACTATCTCTACCCTGAAACAGTTTAACCGTCTCCGCTATCTCCTTCCATATAAATCCCGTCAACTCCTGGTTTCCTCCCTTGTGTTCCCCCACTTCGACTATGGCTGTCTGGTGTACGGCGGACACTCGGGAGAATTCGAGGCCAGACTTAAACGCCTAATGAACTGCGCAATACGTTTTGTTTTCGGAATCTCAAGAGATACGCATATAACCCAGAATTACACCAAGTTGAAGTGGCTCTATCCATCCAACCGCCGTTTGTACTTCCTTGCTACTTTTCTATACCAAGTCATCAGAACTCAGCGGCCTTCCTATATTTTTCACAACCTAAAATTCAAATATTCCATTCAATCCCGTCTCACTAGATCTCGTACCTCCGACTTCTATCCACCTCCCCACCGAACTGCAGCGTTTGACAAATCCTTTATAATTCAACCCGTCTCCCTCTGGAATACCATCCCTCCCGATATCCGACACGTAGAATCAGTTTCCTCATTTAAATCTCTCCTTTTTAACCACCTACTCCTTTCCCAACCCGATTGATCATGAAATGTAGATAACAAAACTTTTAAAGTTCCTCCAGAAATTATTTTCTTAACTTATGCTATTTTATTTTATTATATAGTTTGTATTATACATATCAGAATGTTTTTAGTGTAATAGTTTCAAAATGTTAATCTTAATAATAAATGTAAACAATTAATTTTATGTATGGCCACACAGGCATTTATTCTGTATCTGTAATTTGTCCTAAAGGGACAACAGTCCCAGGATAATAAAAAAATATTTTCATTTTCATTTTTTTTTCATTATTATCTACACCATTACATTAATTATTTTTTTATTTAATTAATATCTTAAATTGTTTGAAGAGACCAACAGTGTCAAGCAACAGACCTAAATACAATGCAATTAAGGAATATCCTATTACAAATTTAGAAAATAATACAATGAAATTAAGAAAAATTCTAAGCATTTTTTTTTTTAATCCATGAAATCCCCATCCTTTACCAACTGTTAGAAATTTCTAGTAACACCTGACTGGTTAGAGACTCAATAATAACAAAACAATAAAATTTACCGTAGCAAGAAAGGCATATAAATTCACAGATAATATAGAATAATCAATAAACTGATTCTCTATGTATTGGTTCTTTGGTTTCACTTAGAACCGACCATTTCTAAGTGAAACTCCTTTCTTAACACTCCTCTTTGAAGAAGACCTGCAAAGTCGGGTCGAAACGTTGGATTTTAATAAAATAGTTTTACCACTATTTAACCTATTTATGACCGCCACCCCGGACCATCTCCTTCGTTTGTAATGCAACGGTTAACTATTAAATATTCAATAATACTTATAGAGATAATTTTTTTTCATAAAACATGCTTATATTTTATCATTTTGGGAGGGCTTGGGAAAGCCCCTGTGCTCTTCCCTTCCCCATAGATCCGGCTGTGTGAAGTAGTACTGAAGTATTTATTGGAAAGATATACCTCTTGCTAGGCGCACACAAGAATACAAAGAGATACAATAGGGATGGGACATAAAAGAAAGCCTGTTATGCACAAAAGTTTATCTTGATCTAGGTGTTTTAGTTTTATTTTATATCCCACCGACATTATTCTTTTACTCTGTCTTTTTTTTTTTTTTTTTAGATTATTTTTTACTTCAATATCCTTCATGTTGTTTTACGACAGCTGGTAGTAGAAAGACGTCGAGGATAGGCACATAATGTGCCGCAACAAAAAGCGGGAGCACAGTAGGTGACGATGTAGGGTTGGAATCGCCCGATGGTAGCCGATAGCAAGGAGTGCTTGTTTTTGTCCTGGATTGTTTACATAGCGCCCCTAGCGCCCCTCGCGGACACCTCTAGCTCTGATCCTTATCGCTTAGTTTATTTCCTCCTTTGTCACCCCGCCCCTTTCGCTCCTACTATATCTGTCTTCTCATTTTTATACCTGTATCATTCACCATATTTCTTTCATAAATCCTTTAATTATGTTATCTTCAAGAAATCTGGTGCCCGCATCACACAACTTTCACTTCCCACCCTATTTCGAGTAGCCTTCTAGGGGTATTCATGCAACTAGTTCTAAGTATTATAAACCTCTTAAATGTGTAATGTCGAGAAAATTATTTAAGTAATGTGTATTAAATATTACCGCTTCCTTAAACCTTCAAAGACACCTACCTCTCCCTGATTGAGCACTGATGTAATAAATGGCGTATTAAAGTAAATGAATCCAAATGCTAACACATTACCTTCCCACTCCGACGCAGTTCTGGTCCACCAGTACTCTTTAATTCCATTCAGCTTCCTTTCTCAGACACAGTCCGGTATCTTGGCCTTCTCATAGACAGACCACTAACGTGGAACCCTCATGCTAGACCTAAAAGACTATACAAAGACCTCATGCTACAGCTCCTTTGCCTGTATAACGTTTATTTATATTTCTGCATGAATAATGTAGATATGATTTGATAGAACTTATACTTTGTGCTTATAATGTTTTTTTTTTTTTACTGTTACAGAAGGAATACTCTGAGGAGTGCGTGTTCAACGAGAACATCGAGGAGAACCATTACAACAGCTACAGCTCGGCCAAGTACTCCAACGCGAGGCGGACCCTCTACCTCGGGCTGAACAAGCGGGGCCAGGGGAGGATGGTGATGACCCGCGGGGGCGCCCTCGGGAAGCAGTCGGCCTACGCCCGGGTCCTCACGCAGCCCGTCCAATGGCAGGCCAAGAACACGACACACTGCGCTCCGGCCGTAAAGGTGGTCCACACCGGTCCTCCGCGGTGCAAGTTGCGGATGAGAAGACCTCGGCGTCGGAAGCGCAAGCGGTGCAGGGAGGAAGAGATCTGCCGGAAGAGGAAGTCGCGGCTCAGGATCAGGCACCGCAAGCACCGCGGGGCTCCCGAGAACGAGGACGAGTTCTTATTGGAGAAGGAGGAGGAAGAGGAGGACGTTACCATGACAACGGAAGACGAGGAGGACCACACGCTGGCCGACTCGAGCGAATAGTGTTGTAAATAGTTGCGACGTAAGATGTAGGTTTAGTGGCTAGGCTGGCGATAGGTTTAGTGATGCTGCAATGGAACTTGATCGAGTGTTGATTCCTCTAGTCCCAGATCCTGCCGAAAGGAGATCTGCCATTGTTGTATTATTGTGTTGTCCCTCAAACTCTCCCCTCGGCACGCTCTTGTATTTATTGCCCTGGGGAGGCCGCCACTGTCCGAAGGCACCAGGGGGTAGTCTTCTAGACTGTTTCCTAATCGATCCTCGTTATCGAGTTTCGTTTTCATGAAATTATTTTCGATGAGTTAGATCTGTATTACGCTGCCATAGAGGCCCGGGCATCCGCTGCCTGGCCGACGATAACTTATATGTAAATATTTATGTGTTGAGTTGTAGAATAGTATTTTGTAATATTTTCAACCTTGTATTAATCAGTCCCTTCACTTATCAACTGTTTACTTTTCGATCTACTTCCACGGAATTGAAATATCATAATGCACTGATAATAATAATAATTCTTTTGATATTATCATTGTGACTAAATTATTAACAGAGTATTATATTACCTTTATGATTATATTTTATTGTTTGTAAATAAAGAGATGGATTGATATGAGTCGATTCTCATCACATCTCAACGAAATGTGAGACATACGCCAAGTTGAAAACGTATGCATGTATTTGTCAATGTATAATTTTGAAGTTTAAATTTAAGTATTTTTCCCTAATATTTTAAGTTTTTTTTTTTAATTGTTCAATCTCTTGTACAGTTTCGTATCTAAAAATTAATTGTATTTGGCATATGTATATTTAGTAAAGAGGTTTCTCATTCAGTGGATATGAATTTTGTTAAATTATTGTCATTTTATTTTAAATTATCAAAAATGTACTTACCCTCTGATGTATATCCTAATCATGGTTGATAATTTAATGCTTTTTAGAAGTCTAGATTGGCGTGACATAATTAATACTAAATTTTATTTTTGTTAGTTGATATAGTGGATGATGTTAAATATTTTTTAAAATATACATTATATTCATTTTACCAAACAACTGTATTATTGGAATGATTGTTATTATTATTCTTTAAAACTGGATTCTGTAGTCAATTTAATTTAAAATTTTATATTTTTTGTAAAGTATTAACATAGTCGTTACACGCTTGCACTGTTTATTTCTTTTATTGTCATGACTGAATCTAGGTTAGTTACAGATTAAAACTAAGGCGAATCTGAAAGACAAACTTCATCTTTATAAAAATAAAAAAAAATTAAGTGATGTATGTATTATGATGAAAAAAAAAAACGTCATTCTGCAACTGTTTTATGTCCTTGTAATATAACAATAAAGTTAAACAAAACAAAGGTACTTAAGTATTGATCCATCGACATTATAATGTATTTTTGTATGATATAACCTTTCTTATAAGTTGTGTATTAATATTCTCGTCGCTTCATAGTGAGAAATGATTAAGGATATATCTTTTACGCAACTTATAAAACAGGTTAGGAACTTTGACCGCCGAAACAATGTAATTTCTTTTTACAATTTTTTATTTTTTAACCTTAACAGTGCCTACTATTTTTTGTCATAATTAGAGACTTCTGTAAGACACCATAACCAAAAATTAATAAAAATCAGTTTTTCTTTTGACTATTATTACTTAATACGTAATATAGGATTTTCAAAGTGAATCTTAATCATTATTAACATTTTTTGTGAAACGGCAAAAACTATATTTTTGATTCCTTTGCAATATCAAAACCTATATTTTTTTAAATAAATTAAATAATACGTGATTTGTAGAACATAGTTCAGAAAATCACTAATTACTCCAGTAGTAATTCACAAACATTGAAATTTGAGTATAATGTGGAAAAAAACTAACTTCAATGCTCCTTTTGCAACACGAGTGAGGTTCAAAGAGAAAAAATCATAAAAATTGAACAATTTTGTATAAAAAAAAAAAAATAACGTTTTGTATATTATAAAATTAATTTATTTTTAATTTTAATTTGAAAAGAATGTTTAAAAAATGTTGATATTTTTTTTAAAGAATACTTGACAAATACTAGTTTCATTACATTCCTTGAAAAAAAAGGACGGTTTCGATAATAAATTTATTTTCACATCACTTAATATTTATGTTCGTTTTTGAAAAAAAATCGATATCTATCTAAATTTCCACAAAAATCGATTACTGTTCACTTTGAAAATAAGTGACTCATCAATATTATAGCTGGTTAAATTATTTTATTTCTTAAATTTCAAAAAAAAGAAAAAATTAATATTCACCTTACTGCTACTCATAACTTTAATTACTCTTCCAAATTATGGTAGCTGGATCTGTTAGTGGCTAAATTACAAGAGAAAATAAATAGCAATGCCTATATTTTTTATTTTTTATGTAATGACACAGCTTATCATATATTTCTAAAATTGCTGTACTCAACTCACTTAGAAGCAAGAACCATATTATATTATAGTGTTTATAAACTCGTTTAAAAAATGGAGTCTCAGAACCTCTGTAGGCACTGTAAGGATTAAATAAACTAATAAAAAATATTTTTGAAAAATTATAAAAAGAATATTCTAACATCGACGGACTAATACGTAAGTACCACAAAAAAAAATGTTACAAGAATCCTTTTGTAAATAATTTCTTCCTTGAGAAATAAGTTGTATCCTAAATACATAATGTATCTTTACTGGCCGGATATATTTTGATATATAACCCAAGCCACGTAGAAATAGACTAATCAAGTGATAAGGAGTTAGTCAGAGACAGTTACCACGCCATATTTCATAAGGCCCTAATTTTCAACTTTATCAAAAATGTATTAGATTTACAATCTGTAATTAGACTTTCTTTTTTTTTTTTGTTTTTTAAATGAACACGCACCTCTTAATAATATTTGTACATACATAATTATGATGTACAGGCTGGAAATAACGTTTCAGTAAACAAATTTTCGTATGGAATAAAATGATTCTCTTTGTAATCTTTTCAACTTTTTTTCTCCTAATTTCCATCCCTTTCCTACTATTTCATTATATATATATATATATATATATATATATATATATATATATATATATATTAATTTTATACTATTATAAATCATTGAAGTTAAAAAAAATAACAAAATAACCTAATGCACATTTTATTTATATAAATACAATAATAATGAGAATTTGAAAAAATATTTTGCAAAAGAAAAGAAAATTCTGCTTTGAAGATGAAAAATAACTACAATCATTGGAATTGATGAATTTATCACAAGTATTAAACCGTTGGGTTAACCCGAAACACTTAAGTATAGAAATTAACAATGAATAGGCATTTAAATGTACTGACGATTAATGGCAAAGAGATTATAGCATCATATAACCTTTCACTTTGCCAGGAATACAAAAGTCTGTTCATTATCTTTACACTAAATCGTAGAGCATATCCAAATGTACACTTTAATTACGTTCCCATTTTCTCATCTGAAGAAGTTCCATGATTTAGGACTTCACTGAACAAAAAACAACCGAACAAACAATATGGATTATCAAGATTACATGACAGACGCACGAAATTATCCTTGACCAACAAACTTCTTCCCATCTACAAATTATTCATAAATTATGGATTTAAGGGTAAGAGCTAAGAGGCAATGCGAAAACTTCTAGCATCCTCAAAATTCAAACTTTTCAATCTAGAGTTTTGAGAAAAAAAGCTGATTCAACGTTCTATGTGACAAATGACTTACTACAAAATGACTACCCAGATACTGCAACACAATGCTATATAAATTTCTACTAGAGACTGACTTAAAACATGAAGCCATTAGTCCAAACAGTTATTTCCACCACGAATCCGTAAGTCCCACCCCGATGGTTTTCAAGGTGGTGGGGAAGAGATTTTTCAATCTCTACCAGGAAATGTGATTTGATATAGATTTGCTTATTGAAAAACTTTGCATATTGAAAATTTCAAGCATGGAAGATTTATATATCTGTTTAATCAATAATAATAAACAAACTTTGCCTGAAAATAATTAATAATATATTTATATTATGTTCATTTAAACCTAGATTTGGTCTCTTGATGTTTTCATTTATAGAAATTATTGCCGTTATTCCACCAACATTTTATTTCATTTTTATGTTTTATTTATATTTATTTTTATTTTTACTGTTCCTCCAGAAATGACATAGGGGATACACTAAAATCCTAAAATATTAGGACATTTTTAATTTGTTCTCAGAAAAATAAAAATGACATTTTTGACATTGCCGCTAACGTTGTCTAAATAAAATGTTGGTGGAATAACGGTCTTAATTTATATAAATGAAAAAGTAATAATGAATTATTTATGCACATTATACAGCCCTTTTGCCAGAGCACGTCCCTATGAACAGAAATAATCTCTATAGTGTTCTAAATTCAATCTTGAACTACAGATGAGACACCTGACATCAGCTGTAACTGTAATCACCATGACAACCGACAACTGTTTTTAAGTGTAAAAATTGCTTTTTATTTATTTATTTTTTAACGTTTACTTATGAACGTTAGAACACTTATGATAGATAATGACTAACAATTCCTTTTAAGACATCAGTGAATATGGACGCTAGATGATGGTTGAATTGAAACTATACAGGTAAGAGGAATGAAAATAGAATTCTAATCTAGAAACTGAATAGATAATAGTTAAAATCCAATCTATGCCAAGTTTTATTATTAATTTTAAAAGAATTAATAAACAGAAAGCCATCATTCAGTCAAGATAAAAATCTTGTGAGTTGCACACATTACACAACTTTCATTTATCACTCTACTTTTAGTATAATAGAGATTTTTAGACATAAGGAAGGGTAAGTAAAAATTAAAGATAATACAACACACTAAAAACAATTAATTACAACATGTAAGCTCTCTAATATATTACGTTATGTATGTTTTTTTTCTTTACCATTTCCTTTTACGACTATATATTTTAATTATAATAAATAATGAATTAGCACGAAATAAACATCATTAATCACTGCATTTTCTAATTATTTTAAATTCTTATAATTTTAACAGTAAACAATCATGTATCACCATCTCTAAAATCAGAAGTACTTCAGAGAATGTAATTTTGAAAATTCGGCATTAGAGCATATCAGCTTATTTCAATGAGAATAAAACCAATCTAATATTAAATACAACTTTATTATACATTGGTATAATTAATTAATTCAAAATAATTGGATCTTTTTTTTTTTTAGAATATTATACAAATCGGTAATATGAACTGCCACTTGCAGTTGGTCGATTTTACAGGAAAAGTTGCGGTAACATCTCTAAAATTTCATTTGAAGGAAATAATCCAGGACTATTAACCGTGTAAATTAAAAATTACGAGATATTAATAACGGCAACAAACATTAACATAAGAATATAAAAATTGAAGATAGATGTAAATCAGGTAATCCTCGATTTGAGGAAAACCTGCAGACTATGACAAATATAAAATATAAAACTCAGCAAAAGCGACATTTTTCATAAAACGGGAGAGAAATAGGTCAAACCTACGGGACAAAGGTATAATTCCTTTTATTTTTTAAGTCTTCTTTTCAAGAACGAGATCAGTTGTTGACAGGGAAACTGATATATATATATATATATATATATATATATATATATATATATATATATATATATATATATATATATATATATACACATATACATATATATATATATATATATATATATATATATACATATACATATATTTTTTTTTTTTATTTGTTTATTTAGAAATATTACATTCTGTCACATCAAGGACATTTATAATAGTGATCAGAGAAAGCACACTCACACTCTATTTACAATAAAAAAAAAAATAAATAATACAGAAACTTAATAATAATAAATACAATAAAATAAAATAAAAATAAATACAATAAAATAAAATAAATGTATATAAACAAAAGAACTAACCTAATCATACACACTCGGGCTTGAGTGGAGGATCTGGCCATTGCCAAAACTCCAATAGATGCTTATTTACAAAAGGTCTCTGGGCCACTGCCGCTTCAACCTTCGAGGAGGATTGTAAGGATGGGCGGTGCTGGATAGAGATTGTGCAAGGGGATTTGGATGATAGGTAAGGTTTTGGTGAAATTTGGAGAATTTTTCTGGAATAAGGTCTAGGACAAATGGGATATTAAGGTCATGGTGTAGGATTTTGTTATTTACATAGAACGGAGCATCAACTATTGTTCGAAGGACTTTAGATTGAAAGGATTGAATACGTTTGATGTTAGAAGCTTTTGCTGTCCCCCACAGTTCAAGTCCGTATGTCCATATAGGTTTCAGTATTGTCTTGTAGATAAGTAATTTGTTTTCAATAGAAAGTTTGGATTTTCTGTTTAGTAGTCTGTATAGCTGGCCGTATCGTCGGTTGAGTTCTTGTCTTTTGAGTCTAGTATGTGGGTTCCACGTTAGTCTTCGGTCTAAATGAAAGCCAAGATACCGGACTGTGTCTGAGTAAGGAAGCTGGATGGAATTAAAGTGTACTGGTGGACAGGAATTGCGTCGTAGTGTAAAGGTAATATGTTGGCATTTAGATTCATTAACTTTAATGCGCCAGTTATTACACCAGTGCTCAATCAAGGTGAGGTGGTTTTGGAGATTTAAGGATGCTATGTTGGGATCAGAGTTGGATGATAAGATTGCGGTGTCGTCAGCGAATGTTGCAAGAAAAGTATCGGGATGAACAGGGATGTCAGCAGTAAAGAGGATGTAAAGCACGGGACCCAAGACGCTGCCTTGGGAAACACCGGCTTTAACGGAGTAGATATTGGAAAATTCTGTTCCACAGCGAACTCGGAAGGAGCGGTCAGAGAGGTAGAATCGGAGGACTAGGTACAAGGACTGAGGTAAATGGATTTTAAGCTTGGAGAGCAGTCCGGAGTGCCATACCCGGTCAAATGCCTGTGCAATGTCCAGAAATGCACCCGAACAGTATTCCTTGTTTTCTAGGGCTGAGGAAATATGATCAACAACTCGGAGTCCATGTTGAACAGTAGAATGTTGGGAGCGAAAACCAAACTGATGGGAAGGAATATTTTGGGATTCTATAATGGGTAGGATTCGTTTCAAAAGGATCTTTTCAAAAATTTTTGAAAGGATTGGGAGTAGGCTAATTGGTCTATAGGATGTTGAGATATTGGGAGGTTTGCCTGGTTTTTGGAAAAGGATAATAGTGGAGTGTTTCCATAGCAGAGGAAAGTGGGTGGTGCGTAGGATACAATTGTAGATATATGTAAGGAATATGACTGCTTTGGATGGAAGTTGTCGAAGGATTTGAGGGGTAAGGAGATCATGTCCAGGAGCTTTACGGGGGATTAATTTTTTTAATTGAAATTTCACTTCGGAAGGATGAATAGCTTTTGGGGGCAAGGAAAGTGGGATTGGTGATGTAAGGAGTTCTTCTATTGTTACGGTGTGGGCAGGATGGGATTCCGGATGTGAAATAAATGTATTGGATAGGTGAATGGCGAACTCCTCAGCCTTATCTTCGTCAGATGCTGCCCAGGAGCCATCATCTCGTCGGAGGGGATGGGAAATGCGGTGAGGATTTAAGATTTTGGTAGTGGTTTTCCAAAGGAAATTGTCGCGAGAAGAAAGGGAGGATAGGTAGGAGTTGAAGGAATGTGATCTGAAGGTGGCTAATTCCAGTTTTAATTTTTTGCAGTAATAATTATAGGAGCAGCGGTCGGTAGGATGTCGGGTACGTTGCCACAATAATCTGGCACGGCCTTTGGTTTGGGTTAGGTCAAGGAATACATATATTAATGGAATTACTTTGGTATATATGTGTGCGATGTTGTATTGAGTTCTTGGCGTTTAAATTTTTTTTATTTTCGGAAAACGTTTGTTTTGCAAAGTCTATAGTTTGATATGGTTTATTGTTGATAATTTATGGGAGTAATGTTATGAAAAGGGAGAAAAAAA